AGAGGCAGGGTCATGGCCAGCACGTCCCATCTCACACAGGTCAGCTGTGCTGGAAAGTTGTCTGTCTGCCTTTCATGTGGTAACAAAACACATTGTTAACCTTGGTGAGACAAACCTACTCATTTGGCATGGATGGGGTCAGGATTGTGGTTTCTCAATTGCCTTCTCACCTACTGAGATTAATCCCTCCAAGCCAGCATTGCAGCAAGTGGCTATGAATCTGGGGCTCACTTTGTCCATCCCACAGATGAGTTAAGATTAAACAGCAGGCTTTCAATTGAAGGAATCTCTTTCTCCTCCTCTGCTTGAGAGCTTGCTTCACCAACAGCCATTCTGAGCTTTTATTCTGTACTTTTAAAAACTAAACCTTTAATGTTTAGAAAGAGAAGTCTATCTCCATCACAGCTCCTGGGCTCCTCTGTGCTCAGCGTCACTCTTCGGTGATATGCCTGCGTCAAAAGAAGACTCACACATGGAAATATTCATTAACATGTTTATCTTCAAAGACAGCACATGCATTCTATCTACCTGTAAGCATTTGTGTGGCAAATACAGAGATGCTATGAAGTTATGCTGTCAAACAAGACACATAGTTGATTAAAAAACCCCAAGAAGTCCTCATTCTCTTCTTTGTAGGAGCTGTCTTCAGAAATACCTGACCGAATCTCAGCACAAAGTCCTTCATGTGCACCATTTCTGAAGGCTGATGAGTTCTCACCTCATATATAATAGCTGAACCTCACATAACTGCTCAAGACTTTAACCTATTTCTTGCATTTTTACATGTATATTATTGTTTCTTGCAGTTACGATCTACTTTTTCCTAGTAGGAAACTAAAGTGTGGCTTTAGTAATACCTATCATCAATCTTATTTATTCCATCTATTTCTAGGTAATTATATATAGTGTATTTCTTAGTCTATATTTGGATGGCCTATTTAGAGATGAATGGATTCCTTCCAGAAGGGCAATAACCTTTCTGTGACTCAAACATTAATTTTCTAAATGGCATCATAGGTGAAACACCTTATATATCATCATAATTAACAAGATATACCCTATTAATGGTCAGAAAACATGCTTTTCATAATTATAAACAGAATCCTTCCTCTCTGTTATGAATTGGTAGCCAATACTACCTGATATATCCACAGTGAAACCTACTAAAACCCTATTCAAAAAGCAATCTTAATTGCCAGCCTTGCATACCTTAGGTACCCACAAAATGTAGATTTTAGAGACATCAGTATTACAGTTCAGGACTATTCACAGATTTGCCTGCTATAATATGTTTGACAAGTTCTTTTGTTTGAATCAGACAATTGGCATTATAGGCTAAATTGATTTGCCTGCTTTCTTAACTTCATTAAAGTCAACTGTGCCTGTAATTTCTCAGAGCACAGAAAAACTTGTAACTGCAATTCTTATGCTTGAGTCCTCCTTTCTGATTGCAAAGTCTTAAGGGTCAGGGGATTAGATGCTTTCTGGGAAAACTTGGAGGAAGGATTGCAATGATAAAGAAGGAGGCAGAGTGAAGAATAACACTGTTCCCTATGAGAAGCCCCTTAAAAGAATTAGAGCACCTCTCATGTAAAGAGACAAAAGACAAAAGTTCTATTATACTAATTCGAGTTCTGATCTCAGCAGTTCTTATAAGCAGGACTATGTCTGACATGAGATCACCAAAGGAAAAATGTTGGGAGAGCACTGGTAATTCAGAAAGTGGTGATTTTTCTTCTGAAGTAGCAGTGGGTCGATACCACAGCCGAGTACCAGTGAGCACTGAGCTTTCAGCTGGAGCATGTGAGGTGTTACACCGAGGCCTGCCATGACCCACGGAGCTCTGACAGTTTCTAACAGCTGAGAGGTTTATTCCAGGATCCTGTCCTAAGTATAATGTATGGATCAACATCCTGCCTAACCTCCTTGCCCCCTTAATTTGAAGGGGGAAGTAGAGCCATAATTTTCCCACTGAAAAAAGTCTGTAAGGAGCAGAGCAATGCCTGCACTCTGCTAGACTGAGGGTTACTCGTCAGACAAATAGTTACTGGGGTGAGAGGCAAGTACATTTAGCTCCATAAACATAATTTGCCCCCAAAGCTTCCTACCTCTGAAGAACAGAACTCACATTTACATTATTATAGGATGATACATTTCCCCTTATTTTTATTAAAAGCTTTACGACAAAAAAGTGTTGTTAAAAAGTGTGGGAGAGTTAATGCTCTAGAGGATTGATGCATGACCATTTTTTCACAAGCATACAAGAGTTATCAAGTAGTAACAAGCTAAGATTGGCAAAAAATAGTGATGATCATGGGTGCTATTTAATATGACTACACAATAACTTTGGGGACACATACACAGAATGTTCAGTTGCTGCAGAAATTTATGTGAGGTTAAAAGCCCTTAAGAGTTTAGAAACTTGTCCTTGACAAATGCTAATTGTCTTTTCTAGAATGTCTGCATGGTTCATGTTATAATTTTTTTTTTACTATGAAGGCCAGATTCAAATATGTCATTTCTTTCAACAATATTCTGCTAAAAGAAATTCCAAATATCTAAAAATAGTAATCTCTTACAAGCAGTCATGCTATACTTCTCAAGATTAGAAGAGCTTGTAGATTAATGTGATTTTTAAGATATTATTTACAAAATTGTGTTGGTTTTATCATGTTTTTCTTATTTCATATCAATAGCATTAAAATAAAAGGGATAAACTTAAGGGGTAAACAACATAGATGGCTTTTATATTTAATTCATAGTCCTGTTTCTCTTCCTGGTTTTCATAAAATGTTTAGCTCTTTTTAACACTCTAGTAAAGAGATTTGTATGCCTATGTGTGTGCATAATTGCATGTAGGAACATTTCTATACAACTTTTCAGCCTTGCAAAAGCACTCTGAATTGACACTGCTATAATAAGCTTGGTGTTCAGACAATAAAGATCTCTAAATAAAATAATAAAATTATTGAGGTATTTGTAACCACTTTGCATGCATACAGCATTTTGATCAAAAATAGTCTAATAAGAGCTGGTTAATGATACATTTTTACCATTCCTTAACAGGGAGAAATCCTACTGTCATATGTCAACCAGTTACTCAGTTTGCAATCCTGAAGAAAACTGTGAATTGAGTTATTGCTATGGCAAAAGCTATTGCTTGCTCAAAGACTGTCATAAAAACTGATTACAGGTCTAATGGACCTTGCTTCAAACTCTGAATCTGGACAGCTCCGTTTAAAGGAAGGAATGGTTGGCTATTGGGAGTCACAAAGCTCTGCTTATATAATTAAAAGAAGGGGTTTTCTAATACATGAAATTATGAAAGCTTGCATCAATTTTCCTAAATAAAATTCAAAGGTTTCAATCCTGGTTTTATGTATATTTTGCAATGTGATACCTGCCATCTTCTGTCCTCTAACTCTTTTTCAGGCCAGCAGTGATGGCAGCAGGCAAATGCCCTCTGAGGACTGTGAAGACCACAGGAGTCAGATGCTGCAGGTCATGTGGGGAACCCACTGTCAGAATGTCGTCAGCTCAAAATGGGAAATTCTCCACACTGAGTCCAACCTCAGTGCTTCAGATTATTTATCAGAAAGAATCAAGCAGAATTTTAGTTTACCTTGATGGTGTGAAACACAGGATCACTGAATGGGTCAGGTTGAAAGGGACCACAGTGGGTCATCTAATCCAACCTCCCTGCTCAAGCAGGTCATGCCAGAGCACATGGCACAGGATTGTGTCCAGATGGTTCTTGAGTATCTCCAGTGAGGGAGACTCCACAGCCTTTCTGGGCAATCTGTTCCAGTGCATGGTCACCCACACAGTAAAGAAGTTCTTCTTCAGGTTCAGGTGGAACTTCCTGTGCATCAGTTTCTGCCTCTTGTCCTACTGCTTGGCACCACTGAGAAGAGCCTGGATCCATCCTCTTGGCACCCTCCCTTCAGATACTTACCAGCATTGATGAGGGCCTCTCTCAGTTGTCTCTTTTCAAAGCTGAACAGGCCCAACTCCTTCAGTCTTCCCTCCTATGAGAGATGCTCCAGTCCCTCAACCATCTTCACAGCCCTCCACACCGACTCCAGGAGCTCCATGTGTCTCTTGTACTGAGGTGCCCAGAACTGGACACAGAACTCCAGATGTGGCCTCACCAGGGCTGAGCAGAGGGGCAGGATCACCTCCCTTGGCCTGCTGGCAATGCTCTTCCCAATGCCCCACAGGATACCATGGGCCTTCTTGGCCCCCAGGGCACACAGCTGGCTCATGGACAGCCTGTTGTCCACTAGGACCCCCAAGTCCTCCTCTGCAGAGCTGCTTTCCAGCAGGTTGGCCCCAGCCTGAACTGGTGTCTGGGTTTATTCCTCCCCAGATGCAGGCCCCTGCATTTGCCTTTGTTGAATCTCAGACAATTCTTCTCTGCCCACAGGCCTTGCTAAAAGGGGAGTTTTGGCTTCAGTTCTGAAAATGTGATGTACAGGTATTTCACCAGATGCACTTTCATTGCTAAATACAGTTGTTTCAGCTGTGAATATAGACTGATATTGCACTTGAGACAGTTGATTGCATTCCAAATGCTTTGATTGTACAGGCTTCCAACAGTTTCATGAGTATACCCAATCATACTTTAAGCAAACTTAGTTGTGTTTTGGGTCCAACCTGTTGTAGATTAGATCAAAATTGCACCATAGTGTGCCACCCAGGTTGGATCTATTCTAAGCTACAGTTGAACCCCAGCCATTGAGCACACATGATAAAATCACTGGTAGTCCTATGAATAAGTTTTTCTGAAAGGGAGAATTATATGGGCTTTAAAGAAAATTCTCTGGACACATTTGGAAACTGACCTTACAAGTTATTGAGTGGCTTGGATTCCCATTCCATAGGCATAAATGATGTTTAATATCTTAACGGGAGCATATTGACACTTTGGAAGACATTAAGCATTAGGGGCACAAAGTATAAACTTTCTGTTCTACTGCTCTTTGTTTTTATTTATTTCAACAACACCAGCTATTTTTGATAAAAACATGTAATACACATTGAAGCCACATTTCAGTCATAATATATCATAGAGCTCTCAGATGTTTGTACTGCAACACTGTGCTCCCATTTTAATGACAAAATCCCTGCTGAAATTCCTACTTTGTTGCATGTCTCCTCAAGGATCTTCCTGTACTCATTATACATCTATCAGCTCCTCTGTCAGTAAGGAGGCATCCTCTAGAATGAAAAACAGCAAATAGAAAAATAGTAAAATGTCATAAGTTTATGTATATATATATCAATATCTACATATTTTATACTTGGGTTCAGCATCTGATTAATAGATTTTTTTCTGTCTCAAAGGCTTATGTCTGTAAATTAAAAGCAATTACATGATCAAAGGCAGTTAAATTCTAAAACACATCTAAAAAATCTGAGGGAAGTGTGAATTCATTCATTTATGAGCAGTAAAAATATTGTTATTTGGACAAAGTAAAATAGAGATGATGTGCGATTTCCTGTCAAAATCAGGTTAAGTGTTGATAGCAATGACAACTTGCAAAAATCAGTATATTGGTATAAAGACTATGAATTAAGAACAAATACTATACCAGGAAGGAACTAGAACTGGTGTCTTGGACAGAGGCTCACAGAGGCTTTGAGGCACTTGTTTCTTTATCAAGTTCTGTTATTTAAAAAAAAAAAAAGTGCATCAGTGTTTTAGACTCACAAGACTCTTAATGGAAAAAAGCCGTAGAAGGTTTATTAGAAAAACATGTAACACAGTAAAAAGTCACAAGAGAAAGAAATCTAAGACAACACAAGGGTGAGACACATAAGATATAATCCCAGAAATACAAAACTGACAGGGATTTCTGCTCTTATTTCTTGCACTCCTGTGCAGAGGTTCTCCAACGGGCTGATTTTACAGGACAGGTCCAGGTGGGACCAGCTGGGGAGCCAACAGGGGAGACGCATTTGGGAGAAGATGATGGCAAAGAGAGCACTGAAAGATGGCAGGCAGTAAGAAGACCATGCAAGGGAAGAAGTGAGCAGTGAAGGAAGCAAGAGTAGGGCGAGGAGGTTGAATAGGAAAGGCTGTCACCTCTCAGGGGATGTGATCTAAAGAATAGGTGGCTGGGAGGCCATGGCATAACTCTGCAGTTCTTGACAGCCATAAGCTGCTTTTGCTCCCATGATCTGTGATGCTCCCCCTTGTTCCTTCCTCACTCCATTTTCATACCAAATTCCCACCTCCTTGCTGCGCTTTCTGTTCCATTCCCGGTGACTCTTCGGCAGTACACCTCCCTCTGCCTCATTACAGCCACACCACCCCTGGGGGATTGTTTCTTATTTTGGGAACCACTGATCTGGTTCACCTCCTCAAATGGAGAAAGTGCACATATATCTAGTCCATCCTGACATCTATTCTCAAAGGTTTCTGATGAAGGCTGTCTCACAACATCCCTAATCTCTCTGTTCCAGTGCTTCACAATCTTATTGCTCAGTTTCTTCCCTAATACTTAAGATAAATATTTATTGCAAATTAAACTGATTTCTTTTTCTTGTTTTACTTTTGGTAGACATGAAAAGCAATGGCACATTGTTCTCTGTTATAATAACTCCTTATAACTTGAGAGACTATTTTCCTTTCTCTAATCTTCTCTTTCTGAGGCTGTGCAAATGCAGTCTCTTCAATATTTGAAAGGAACTCATGTTTTCTGACCTCTGTATAATCCTTAACTGGATCCTCCTCAGTTTGTCACTACCTCTCTGTACCATGATGCCTAAACTGGACTTTGTCTTTTAGTCTCAGCAATACCAATGGTGCTTATACAGCATCCATTCATGTCCAAAGTAAATATATTAACACAGTTCTGGTGGGGATGAAAAATAATGTTCAAAGCAGTGTCTCTGCTGGTGCAATATTTGGAACAGAATAAAGCTACTGGACCACTCAAGACTCAATAAGATTTCTGTTTCATCATATCATAGGCTTTTATTAAGTATAATTGCTGACTATCACTTCATCCGCCGTATACAAGTAAGAGTAGGATAAGCAAATCTATGAAGAATACCTGAGAATTAGTGTTAAGTTGTATATGAAGTCTCATTTTGTATGAGGGCACTGTGTACCTTAGTGGTTTACTCTGTATTTAACAATGTAATTATTCCAGGTAACATGTTCTGAAACCAGGCCTAAACTATATCAATGGAAACTCCTTTTCCTAGCAGACCTTGTCTAAATGAAAAAAAATCTAATAAAACCCAGTTTGAATACAAGGGGCTGTGCTGGGTTTGGTTTAGGCACTCAAACAGTGTGAAGCAGCCGAGACCCCCAGGCAGTTCAGAGGTGCCAACAGGGGTCAGAACTACATTGTCCCACCCCAGCTTTACACCAGCACAGCTGGTTATTGCTCTTTCTAGAGGAGTCTCTTTGTTTAAAAAGTGGTGCCAGACAAGTGGGTGATTCAAGCCCAAAATGTGACCAGGTACAGTAACACGTATTTCCAAGTAAATTCACATAAAAGCGTCTCTGACTGTGACGTATCTTGCACATGCAAAAGACTGTGGGGATGTGTATGTGACAGATGGGGAGTTAGAGCATAAATTGCTTTTCTCATGCACCTTTTGGCCTTTTGCCTTCACACTTGGACACCAAGCTATTATTGCCTGATTAACAGTTCTGCCCTCTCAGCATATAATAAGGGTATCAAGGATAACTGATGGAATACTGAGCCATAAATGTTTTCTTGGCATTTGTTTGGCCTATGCTATTTGGGAACAATAAAAGCATCTCATATTCATAATGATAATACATATATACCATCACAGATCACACCATCAAGCATTCTCCTCCCATCTTATTGTGTTGTGCAAAATGTGGAGATAAACATTAATATGTACTAATAGCATGTAAATACAATTAATCATAATAGAACGTTCCTGACATGTTACCACTGCTGTTGATAAAATATAATTAAAATTGTCTGACCGAATTTTCAGTGTGGCTAGAATTGGCATCTCTATTCTTGCTGTTTATGTGTGCCTATCTAAAGAATGTTACACTTCTAAAAATCCCGTTATTTCATCACGTTCCTGGGAAAAAGCAATGCAGGGCTGCGAGACCTTTAAATGATATAATTAATGAAAAGTCATATAAAAGAATGAAAGCCTGCAAAACGTACACCTACAAAGACTGAAGCTACAACTAACTCCTGAGAGGACAGGAATTTTAGGCACCATTCTCTCAAAAGATTATAAAGAAAATGAAAGAGGCAACACCTGTGTTCCTGAATTTGCATGCCCATTCAATGGGAGAGCATTCAAATCCAAGTTTTGCATTGTTCAGAGACTGTTGGAATCTATTAAACAAGAATTTCACTGAAAGCTCCACAAAGTGATGAAGTCATAAGAGCACTATTGTTTTGGGCAGCAGAAACTGCTTTGGAAAAAAAATAGGCAATATTCTGAGGAGATGACAAAAGTAAGAATGAGGGTAGCATGCAGAAGGTGACCTAGAAACCATTTTTCACTGTCTCTTCCAATGAAAGAATGAGGTGGGATATACTGAAAGCAGCAGGTGGTGGCCTTGGATACAAAGGAAGGGCTTCTTTGTGCGTTGTCAACTCATCCTTGGAACTCCCTGCTGCAGGATGCTGAGGATGCACAAGTTTTGTGCTGGCTCAAGAAGTGTCATGGCAAAGAAACAGGAGAAAAGCCCATAGTCTCTCCTACTCTTGCACGATAGCCAACTTATTCAAGTGGCATGTAATCCCATAACACATAACACAACACCTCAAACAAAATATGATAACAGTGCCGTTATGTTTTTACATGTTTTCAGGTGCACACACACAAACAAGGCCACACCTGCAACTCCTGTTAATGGGAGCGAACTCTTGCTATATTGTACATACAAAAGTAGTAATACAAGGCAACACAGTGTTTTCATTACATATATTTTCCTCTAACATAATTAATTCCACATATTCAGATCCACTATTAGCCAATATCTTTGTCACAAAAGGGAGAGAAAGCAAGACTATCACAACATATTATCATGTTGGTGTAATGAGCTGATGAGATATAAGCCATTACTGTAATTTAAAAATTACTTGCATTTTTAAAGGTCATGCAGCTGTTTTCAGTTATGTAATCCGTAGAATGATGGAGTAGGAACAAAGATAGAGCATAAAATAATTTTACTGCCAACAATATGCACATCACGCACTTGTAGACAATCTTCCTACTTCTTTTTCTGTCTTGATAAATGAAAATTGATGAATTGCATTTTTAAAAGCAGGTTGGGCCAACCTGTTTAACCATGTATCCTGACTAGGTTCACTTGGAATGGAGGCAGTTGTACTTGGAGGTTGTATGAATATAAAGATTAATGAATTTGTACAATTTGGGCATGCAAACCATTTTTATCAGGCATATTCCATTTAGAATAAGCAGTAAACCATATATAAGGGTTGTGTCAAAGTTTACTGAATAGGGCCCTTGGTAGCTAATGTAACATTTCTCCAACAAATCAAAGGTATTGTTCTATGCTCACATGAATATACAGTAGCCATTACCTTAAATTTAAAACTCACTGTGAGCAGCAAACACACTGTGGGGATATGAAGGCCATATTGTATCAGTGGAGTCTGCAGAGATTTTCTTCATACGGCTTTGCCCGGTTGAAATATATGTTGCAGTTGAAAGCTAAAGGGATTACTTTTGAATAGTCATCACAAAGGTTGATTATATTCGTATATCATTTAGCTGGACCCTGCAGGCTATTATTCCATTAGCTGTGCTGGCCCTGCACTGTCAAAAAGTTGATCATATAATGTAAAAAGGTTACATGCTCTGTTAAGGTATGTGAAGTAACTTGAAACAGTAATCTTTTAAGAGCAGTACAGCTGTGTACTTGAAGGTAGATTGCATTTAAAATAAATACCCGCAAAATGGAATAAATACAATGAACCTACTACCTCTGTTCCCTATTTTTCCTTCTTTGAACAGGCCGTATACAATTTGAGTCAGTTAATTGTACCAGGTAAGATATTGGCTAGAGAGTATTTTTTCATCCCCACGTCCCAAGAACTATACCTCAAAATAGCTGCGTCTTTACACGAAACCCTCACGGAAATTGTGTTTCTGGTGAAACAGATATGCTGATTATATTCCCCTTGCACATGCAAACACACACACACACACACACACACACACACATTTTCTTCCGGTGCTTAATAAAATGGATCTTCAGACGGTTCCATTATGTGGATGCCTTAATATTATTTTATGCTAAAACATGGACAGCGCATTAGATTGAAAGCATCTTACTGTTCCATAAGGCAGAGTAATCATGGGCTATCCCTAGATAGCAAATGCTCCCATTGGGGAAACAATACCAACAACACAGGCTAATGAATCACAGCAGTTATTAATCATGGGCATTTGTAAGAGCCACATATAATAGAGATGAACTCTCAAGATTAGAAAGGTTAGGAGGTGGGATCGAGAAAAAGACAGGAGATCATCCAACTGCATTTCAGAATAAGTTTATGGACGAGTATTTGCTTCAGTACAGTCATGCCCATGCTGGCCTCAGTCTTTCTGAGAGGGCAGAGAAAGAGAAACAATTCAGTCCCCTCGGTTCACTCAGCTTTCAGATCCTTGTAGGACAATTTG